TGTTGATTCCTCAGCTTACTGAAGGTCGTTCCCTGTTTCAGGCATGCATTGAAGCCCATGAGAAAGACATGGAGATATCATTTGCCATCCAGCGCAGCAAGGACATGATGTGCGGCGTGTGCATGGAGGTGGTGTTTGAGAAGGTCAACCTTAGCGAGCGCCGCTTTGGCATCCTCTCCAACTGCAACCACTGCTACTGTCTGAAGTGCATTCGCAAGTGGAGGAGTGCCAAGCAGTTTGAGAGCAAAATCATCAAGTAAGTGCTTCAGTCTGTTGCTGCCTTGGAACGAAGGACAAAGTAACAGGTGTGGGTGTGGAGTGAGAGTCTGTAGGACATCAGAGCTTGTTGTTTCACGGCTGGTCAGGGTGGACAGCTCCAGCCTTAGTAAATGGTTTTCTCCTCTACCTGAGCGCTCAAAACATTTATACAACTTGCCTCGTTCACTCATTCATACTAGCAAGGATGGGAGCGTCAGGATTTTTGACAGCAGCCAGGGATCAAACCGAGATGAGCTGCTCCACCTCCTGAGCTCCAGCCAACTCACACACCCGAGTGTCTACTCTTTTAAAAGCTCTGTGAATATCTGTAGCTGCAGAAAGTGGAATGCAAAACGATGCTTTTAGAAAACATCAGGTTCATCGCAGATCTGTCAAGAAAACATCAGCTCTTTCAATACGACACTAGCCGAGGTCTTTGACCGCTAACCCTGCTCTCAGGGTGGAGCAGGTTGTCTGATGGTTTGATCCCCAGCTGTTCTAGTGTGAGTGCTTGGTTGTTAGAGGAACTTGCAGTGTTTTATTCAGTTCCATTTAATTTATATAAATAATAATCACAACAATAGTCACTTAAAACCATTTTATATTGTCAGATAATGACCCCAACAAATATGAGACGGGGTCAAAACTAAAATAATTTTTCTTTTTTGGGGCAGGTCTTGTCCAGAGTGTCGAATCACATCCAACTTTGTCATCCCGAGTGAGTACTGGGTGGAAGATAAGGACGACAAGCAGAAACTCATCCAGAAATACAAAGACGGCATGGGGTAGGGTTTGCATGACAC